ATGATGCTGAAAATCAAATACTAAATAGATTTTTCAATGGTTTTTTTTTATGAAAAGGATGATTTTATACAAATTGAATTTGGGTCGGGTTAGGTTAGATTCGAGTAAATAATATTCTAGCTAGTCGGGGTTGAGGTCGAGTTTTTCAGCTAGAACCTTCGAGCAAGGGTGGGTCGAGTATCGAATAAAAGTATTGAAGCATTGGGTCAGAGGCAGGGAAAGTAAAAAATCGACCCGCCCCGCCCCAATGCCAACTCTAATATTAAATATTAATTTAGCTAATTATAAGAATTGATTTAGTCATTATTTCTATTTATTGTATTTTTTATTTTGTAATATTTTACTTCTGTATAAATAGGTTTTAAACCTCATTGTAATATACAAGTTATTAAAATAAAGTTTTCATCATTTTTTTTTCTTTTTCATGCTATCAAAGCGATTTCATGATTCATTTTGAAGGTGAATAACCTTGGAATAACTAATATTTGCTTATTCTCATATTTGGTTTATTCTCATTTTTAACTTCATTTTTGCTTCAACACTTCAATTTTTTTTTTGTTTCTCTTTCCATCTTTAGGATTAATCTTTTATATCAATACTTATAAATTTCTAAATCTTTATTTTTTTTTTTCAAGAGCTTAATGATAGGTATTTAACAAGAAAATGTACAACTAATTTCAATTATCCTCGATAAAAATAACTATAATATGTGGGCTACGATTATGCATAGTTATCTAAAGGGAATGAAATTATGACTTATTATTATCGGGTAACACAAAGCACTAGAAAAAAAAAAAAAGAAGAATCTGGTGATAAATTTGTAAATTGGTTAGAGGCATGTGAAAGTAAAAATCATCAAATTCTAACATGATTCACTAACACCATTTTTTTTTTTTATCAATATACATTTTGGACGATTTGAACTTGTTAAAAATACTTGAGATTTTCTTGCTATACAGTACAACTCTACTATCCTTGCTCATCAATATTATATTTTGACTACTTTGTCTCATTTTCATTAAAAACTAAGTCAATTGATTGATGATTTTTATTCTAAAATGCAATATTTAAAGGCATGCTTGCAAATTCTAAGTCGAAATTCAAATATGAAAGTGATGTTGGTAATTTTATTACTTATCGAAATCAAATTTATCTTATTCAATTTCTAATGGCACTTCAAGATGAATTTGAGGATATCGGGTCTTCATTTTTACGTCGACATCTTTTACCAATTATGGATAATACTTTTATAGATATCTGAGAAAACTCGATTGAGTATGAGTCAGACTCATAGTGTTGATACTATTATTGCTGCTACTTCTTAGAAAAGTACTAGCTCTATTTTTTATAAGTCTTGTTCAAGATGTGGGAGGGCTAATCATCCCATTTAAAAATATAAAGTTAAATATCATTGTAACGATAGTCTAATTCATAATCCTTGCACTAATAAGACTGTGACGATAACAACTACTGAACTAAATACTTCTAAGTCTTTTTTTGATATCATTACAATCTTCACCACTGATCTTTAAATTTTGTTCAATTAAATGTTATCTTGATTTCATGTTTTTATCATGTTTGCTGTCACATTAGGTAATGTTTGGTTGTTTGATATTGCATGTAAAAATCATATGACTGCTGACCTGTCTTTATTTAAAAGCAAGAAACCTATACCTAATGGTCTAATAATTAAAATAGTAAATGGATCTGTCTTAAAAAGTAGTCACATTGATAATATTGAAACCTCAAAACTATGTATATCTGACATTTACTTTGTTCATAATTTTGCCTTAAATTTACTTTATGTTGGCCAACTTTGTGACCTTGGTCTGATTTGTATTTTTCACAACGATATGGTTGTATTATGCAGGATTCTCAAATAGGGCATAAGGTTGGAACACTGTTTAAGCTTGAAACTTTGATAATTCCACAACATTTGCTTACTACTACTACATTTCAAACAATTAGCTCTTCAGTTTCTTTAGATTTATGACATTCTAGGCTAAGACATGCATCTATTTCTCGAATAAAGTCACTTACTTCTACTAGTGTCTTAGGTAATATTTCTCATTATATTTTTTATTATTTCTCTTATCAACTTAAAAATGATTCTCTTATCCGCTCCTTTTGATTTAGTCCATTCTGATATTTAATGTTAAGCTCTTATATCAATCTTAGGAGGTTCACATTACTTTGTTATGTTTATTGATGATTTCTCTCGTTATACTTGGATATATTTATTTAAACAAAAAATTGAACTTTTATCCTTTTTTTGTGAATTCAAAAACATGAGACAAACTTAATTTTCTAGAAAAATAAAAATTTTTAGATCTGATAATGCTACTGAATATACAAAAATTGAGTTTCCTAAATGATGGGACTTTTCCTCATAGGTCTTGCCCATATACTTCACAAAAAAAAGTCAAGCTGAAAGAAAACATTATCATATTCTTAACACAGTTCATACACTTCTCATTTCCTATTTCTTTCCTAAACATTTTTTGGGTGAAACTGCTCTAGCACTGAAGCTGAGTATTGAGCTCTTACAAATGCCACATCAAAACTTCTATAATTATGATGGTTATTTCAAGATATGTTTCTGATCACTCTAGTACTCTTATATTTTGTGATAATTAAAGTGCCATTCAAATAGCTCACAATGATGTTTTTCATGAGCATACTAAACATATTAAAATTGATTATCACTTCATTATTCACCATATACTTGCTTAAACTCTTCAACTTGTTCTTGTTACGAATGCTAATTAAAAAACAAATATCTTCACAAAATCATATCCATTTGGTCAATTTTTTGTCCAAGTTTTTCAACTTAAGTTGGCCTTTACATTGACATCTTAAGTTTGTAGGGGGTGTCAATGATATTCTAGTATTATTCTAATAATATTTTAAAATAATGATATTATTCTAGTAATATTTCAATAATATTTTAAATTGATTTAATATTAATTTAGAGAATATTAGATATTAATTTAGCTAATTATAAGAATTGATTTTGTCATTATTTTTATTTATTATTATTTTTATTTTGTAACATTTTTACTTTGTATAAATAAGTTTTAAACCTCGTTTTAATATATAAGTCATTATAATAAAATTTTTATCATTTTCTTCTTTTTCATTACCAATTAACTACATCAACATTAATTCATCTTATAAAAGATAAGATTGTGATACAAAAATTTCATTTTAACTCCTTTATTCACTTTCACTTACTTTTACTGTCATTTTCTTCTATCTTCTTTTTTTTTTTTTCTCTGTATTTATCTTTACCTTCACTTTCTGATACATTTTACTAACTTGAATATCAAAATGCAATCAAAATTCTTATTTTCGACCTCTCTTGACCGTTCATTCTTTTACAAGTGACTCCAATCTCCTAATTATCTTTTTATCTTCTAGCAAAGCGACTAGTCACCATATCAAAAATACCATTAACAACGAGATATAGTCCTACTTATTTGTAAAATAGTACCACCCATTTCATAAACAATATTTTTAATCTCAATTTAAGATTTAAATTTTAGATTATTAAATTAAAATCTTACATATTTTTTATCTCGTCGAAGGATAATATAAAAGGTCGTTAATGGTCAAAACTGGTAGCCAATTTGTTATAAAAAATTAAAAAGGTATGGGTAGGTAAGTGACGGACGAGCGAAAGTGTCGGGGCCCTAGTACAAAAAATGGTACAACGGAGTGAAAATGTAGTGGACAGGTCGACCGTTTTATATTGACCGAAAATCACGGGGCGTAATTTGGGGTAAACCAACAGCTCTTCTACTTTCCACACTTTACAAAATACAAATTTCTCGATCAAATTTATTTTTCATTTTTCTGAAATAGCACGGCCGGCTTTTGACACTCATTTTTTACTACTCTTTTTGTATTATTTTATTTCTTAATTGATTCTAAGAAAAAGTTTAATAGCAACTGAACTCACCATTTTCGAAACCTTCAGACACTTAATCACAAACAATGAATTACGATAGGAAAGATTTTATTCTACCTTTTACTTATGTATTTTCCAAAAAATTATAAAAATATTTTATTTTTTATTTATATAATTGATAAAAATATAAAAAACGTTTTTTAAAAGCTTTGAACGGAGTAGTTTTCAAATATGTATTTGTAAAATTTAGTTAATTAAAATATTTATATATAATAGAGGCCAAGAATAAAAAATTTGGATCAAAATAAAATCAACAAATGACATGTCTAGTGAAATAAAGAAATTAATAAATTTATAATTTTTCTAAAATTTTAGATTACAACATATTTTATAAAAGATAGTGCAAAAAATAAATTATTACTTGATAAGCAGAACTGGAAAAAAAATTCAAAATACCATTTATATATGAAAATATTTGACAGAAAACGGAGTATTGGATTTAGCATAAATCTTGATAAAAACCATGTGGTGACAGGATCTTCAAACGGCGAACAAAATTTGACAAGGGTAGAATTCTCAATTGAAAGCAATATTATGGTGATGTAAACAGGGGCACATGAGTCCAGATATAATGGTTTTTGTTCAGTTGTGCCCTTGTAGTTGATCAAACCAACCTCTCAATGTCCAAAGCCCCTTTTAGCCCATCACTCTCACTCCGCTTCCCATTTATCAATTAAAATGGATAAATTTCCCTTATGCTCCTTCATTTTTTTTATTTTGATTTCACCTCTTTAAAAAAAATAGATATTTTGGTTTTACTTTAAATGATTTATTTTTTTAAATTATTTAATTTAAGTTTAAAAAATAATTTTATTAATATTGATGAAACGTCGATGTGGAGAATTTGGTGACACATCACGTTAATATTCTTTTGACATGGTGGCAATTTTCAATTGTTTATATAAAAAAGGTAATAAAAAGACAAAAGTAAAATAATTTCAAAAATTAAAAACTGATATGAAACCAAAATAATATATTAAGAATCGTGGACAAGACAAATAAACCCATCCCTTCTCCCTCAACCCCTCCAACGGCACCAGCACCAGCTGAATCTTAGCTGGATGCACTCCCCACCTCTTTCTACTGCACTTCTACTATCCATCCAACCTTTTTCTTTCCTTTTCCATTTCCCTCTCTCTCTCTCTCTCACACACACAAAAAGAAAAGAAAAGGAAAGAAAAGTCCTCACGAATCTTACACCATTAACTCCATTTCCTTCTCTCTCTCTTTCTCCCTCCCCATTAGACCTGCAAAAACACAATGCTTTCCTCTTTCTGCTGCTGCTGCTTCTGCTTCTTGTGGTTGTTGTTTTTATCATGTGAATCACTTCACATTCCTAGCCGTAGGATCCTTCATCAACCTTTCTATCCATTAGATTCTATCCCTCCATCTGAACCTCCTTCTCCTTCTCCACCTTCCCCTCCCACTCCCAAATATCCTTTCTCTTCTTCCACTTCTACCCCTCCCGGTTCCCCCTTTTTCCCTACCATCCCTTCCGCTCCCCCTCCTCCCTCTCCTTCCTCTTTCGCTTCCTTCCCTGCTAACATCTCCTCCCTTATCCTCCCTCACACTCCTGCACCCAAGCATAATTCGCAAAAACTCCTCATCCTCGCTATCGCCGCCGTCATATCTGCTTCCTTTGTCACTGGCATTCTCGTCTTTTTTTACTGCCGTCGCCGTTGGCAGAAACGTAATTTCCTCGACGATAACAAGACCTCAACATCAGACAACAGCAGCAGATTATACCCCAACAACAATAATAACCGCAACAATAATGTTGATCGTTGTAAGCTCAGAACAACTTCCACGACCAGTTCCGAATTCCTTTATTTGGGCAATTTAGTAAATTCACGAGGCGGAATCGACGACGGTTCCAATAATTCGCAAGGCAATGCCCCGTTGGATCCAAGAAAAATGCATTCCCCGGAGCTCCAACCGTTACCGCCTCTGTCTAGACAGAACACTGGTCGGAACTTTCGAGACGGTGAAGTGGAGTCGGTTACAGAAGAAGAAGAAGAAGAGGAGGAGTTTTATTCGCCGAGAGGATCGTTGGGTGGTCCAGAGAATTCGAGTGGAACTGGATCCGGCTCAAGAAGAGTATTGGCGGCGATTGCTGTGAAAAGCATTGAGTCTAGTAGTACTTGTTCGTGTTCATCTTCGAACTCTGGTTCACCCGCCAGGTCTCAGTCCCTTTGTGTTTCTCCACCGGTTAGTTTGAGTCCCCGAAGATCCGACTCGAAATCTCCAGAACTCGTGCAAGTTCATCCTTCTTTGTCTCCAGAGAGGATTTTAGCTGATTCACCAAGAGTTTCGAATGCGTCTAATGGAAACATACGATCTCCTTCGCTGTTTTTAAGTCCTACATCACCAGACAGAATGCTTGTAAAAGATTCAGATGATCGAAGCGTGCAATCTCCTTCATTGTCTCCGATGTTGTTCGTGAACCCAGATTCTTCTGTTTTTTCCAATCGAAACTTGGGGTCACCTTCGTTGTCTTCGGCTACTACTTCACCAAACAGAGTGTTGATAGAGAAGCTAGATGCATCGATCAGAAATTTCAAGGATTTGGTTCAAAATATGAGGACTCCATTGATTTTAGCTTCAGCTGGTACTAGTTCACAAGCAAAAGAATCTCCAATTAATGACCTGGATCGAAACGAGACAAGGTCTCCGTCTGTTTGTTCAGCTTCTACTTCACCTGACAGAAACTTGGTAAACAATCTGAATGAGTTTCCTAGAATGATTAATGATATGGATCAAATTGCCAGGTCTCCTTCACTGTCATCAGCAACTAAAACCCCAGACAGAGCTTTGAATGAGGATGAGCAGTCTCCTTTACTATCATCAGCTTCATCGTCACCAGACAGAGTTTTCGAGAAAAGCCCAGAGATGTCTCCGTTGAGGGTTGGTTTTTCGGATTACAATAAGGCTTCTTCTTTGTCATCTTCAGCTTCTTCGTCACTAGGAAGAGATTTGGAGAGAAGTCCTAATGAATCTCCGGTAAGAATTAGCAGGGCTTTAGAGAAGTCTATCTTGACTCCGCCGCCGCCGCCGCCACCTCCACCTCCACCACCTCCAAATCAACGACGGCTCTGGGAAAAACCAGTTTCTTCAATATCTTTTGCACAACAGATATCGAAGCCGCCTCCTCTTATGCCCCCATCGATGCCGTTTATGACACAAAGCCCAATTAAGATTTCTCCAGTCGAGTTGCCAGCTAGGTCTGAGTCTGAGGCAGTGGAGGAGGCGGAGGAAGCTTCAAAACCCAAGTTAAAGCCGTTACATTGGGATAAAGTGCGAGCCAACTCTGATCGTGAAATGGTGTGGGATCACCTCAGATCAAGCTCATTTACGTATGATCGGAACCTCAACTGTGGAGTTCTTGTTTATTTCTTTTAGTTTAGTTTAATTAAGTTCATTCATGCGGTTCTACTTCTTTCTTGAATAATTTGTAACAGTTTGTTTTCTGCAGGTTGAATGAGGAGATGATTGAAACATTATTTGTTGTAAACACGCCGAATTCTAAACCAAAGCAAACAACTCCACGCTCTGTTCTTCCATCACCAAACCAAGAGAATAGAGTTCTGGATCCCAAAAAGGCACAGAACATTGCAATTTTGTTAAGGGCACTCAATGTGACTGTGGAGGAAGTTTGTGAAGCCCTTTTAGAAGGTAAAATTGCCATTTAAAATATATCACATATTAGTTTTTGATTCATTGGTTTCAATTATTGTTCAAATTTTGTTGATTTTAAGACATAAAAATCCATAACTTGCATGAATGTCATTAAACTGGTCTGTTCCATATGGTATTTATTTGTTCTTATGTACCTTGAGCGTTACTTTATGAATTTTTTTATGCCGAAGTTGTCACTGAATTTAGTGGTTTTGTAGCAACTTTGACCTGGTGTTTAACGGCTCGTGGTGCAAGTTATTAAATGAAAGCTATTATTGTAGTCAGAGTTTGGATGCTAGTTCAGAAGCTTATTCCCTTTTTAAAAAACTACATAATTTGCATTTCTAGCATTGTTTTGTGCAAACTACCGAAGATTGCATTGTCTGTCTTAATACAATTGGTTGATTTAATTTCCAAATGGTTTTCGGTAATTTGCATCATTTTGTTTAACTGAGGATCCTGAATTAAATGGTTGACTGTTTGGAATGAAGCCAACTTTGAGAGTTACTTGTGTAATGGTTGGCTTTCAGTATTTTAAAGAAATATTCTTTAACTAGATGCTTATTTGGAACTTATTGTACAAGGCTATATTTACTGGGAACCAATACTCTTTTGAGTTTGCATTGCTTTTAAAAGATATTAGTTGAGTTTTAATATCCTTGCCGTGACCAACCATATGGTTTCCTATCCTTGGAATTATTATGTATGGAACTAAGAACCACATCTATGATTGATACAGGTAATGGAGATACACTTGGCACTGAACTTCTTGAAAGTTTATTGAAAATGGCTCCAACGAAGGAAGAAGAACGTAAGTTGAAGGAATACAAAGATGATTCACCAGTCAAGCTTGGTCCTGCTGAGAAATTTTTGAAAGCAGTTCTTGATATACCCTTTGCGTTTAAAAGGGTGGATGCAATGCTGTACATAGCCAACTTTGAGTCTGAAGTTGAATACCTCAAAAAATCTTTTGAAACTCTAGAGGTAATTAAACACAATTCCATCATTCTGTCTGTTTTGCGCATTTCTTGCTTTCTTCCTCCTGCTTATTTTCTGCATTTTTTGGTTGCTTGTTTCTGCTTGCGTTAAAATGTGAATACTCTTCCAACTACCACACCCTTCATTGTGGTTTGGAATTTTCAACGTACAGCTATCTATTTGACTATTCAAAACCTTTATCACAGTTGTCTCTCCAAAGTACAATATGAATGAATAATTGAATGTGCCTTGACTCTAGGTTAGTTCATACCTGACTGCCTGGTTGGTCCCTAAGCTTTGCATAGGCATTTGATCAAGAAGAATATTAAGATCCAACTTGTAGTTTTTCTATTTATATGTTGGCTAAAGTGACCATTGCAATAGTCTAAAAAAACATTGTGTTTATGTGTTCACTCACCTAAGCATGCAAGCAATGCATCTTTCCACGGAATACTGTTAATGCAATATCCCATTATTTAATGATAGAGTAACAAAACCTGTTTTGTTGCTTGATTATCAATTATCTTCAGCTGTATCTCATTGGTTTTTCCGTTTCACAGGCTGCTTGCGAGGAATTGAGAAATAGTAGGATGTTTCTAAAGCTTCTAGAGGCTGTGCTCAAGACTGGTAACCGCATGAACGTTGGGACAAACCGTGGTGATGCTCATGCCTTTAAACTTGATACACTCCTTAAGCTTGTTGATGTCAAGGGTGCGGATGGGAAGACCACCCTCTTGCATTTTGTAGTACAAGAAATCGTAAGAACTGAGGGTTCCCGACTTTCAAATACTAACCAAATACCAAGCTCCACTTTAAATGAAGATGCCCGGTGTAGGAAGCTTGGTTTACAAGTTGTTTCTGGTCTCAGTTCAGAGCTCACCAATGTTAAAAAAGCTGCTGCAATGGATTCTGAGGTACTTAGCGGTGATGTCTCTAGGATTTCTGGAGGCCTTAAAAACATCAGTGAGGTTCTAAGATTAAATGAAACAATGGGGTCGGATGAGAGCAAAGAGAAATTTTCAGATCAAATGAACGGATTTATGAAAATGGCCGAGGAGGAGATTATAAGGATTCAAGCCCATGAAAGTGTGGCGCTATCTCTAGTGAAGGAGATTACAGAATACTTCCATGGGAACTCAGCAAAGGAAGAAGCCCACCCGTTTAGAATCTTTTTGGTGGTAAGGGATTTCCTTACAGTTCTTGATAGGGTCTGCAAGGAAGTTGGCATGATAAACGAAAGAACTATTGTTAGCTCTGCCCATAAATTCCCAGTTCCAGTGAATCCAATGATGCAACAAGTTTTCCCAGTTCCTGTGAATCCAATGCTGCCGCATGCTTTTCCTGCATTCCACAGGAGGCCACAACCTGGTTCTGATGATGAAACTGCATCACCTTAGTTGTTTGCAGATGTAAACAGGTCAAAACTTTAGGTAGAAACTGCCCCAATTTGGTGGTTTGGAGCTTGTATGGCCTAGCCAGCTAAGTCTTTGTAATTTATTTCTTCTTATTTTTCATATCTGTATAAATCCATGTACAAAATTTTGGGAACCTTCTTATTCTATAGATAATATACGAGATTTTCTTAGGAAAGAACTAAGGCAGCCTGCTTGAGTAGTTAGATTTCTCGTAAGCCAATCAGCCACTATGTATTCAGATGCTAATTAATTATAGGAGAGAATACTTCAGCAAATTTCCTTTCACTTCATATAACAGGTCCCAACTCCCAAGCAGCTGAGGAGCCCAAGTTTTTTTCTTTGGTTAAAACAATAAGGGTTGAAGTCTGAACTGAATTTCATCTAATTAGACATCATAGCTAAGAATTTTTGCGTGCTTCGTGCATAATAATATGATGCTTAAAGGGAAATGACGCTCATAAGGTTCATGCCCCCAAATTGTAACATTATCTCAACTTTTGAATAATAGCATCAATTGCTTTTATTAGAAAATGTGTTGATCTGCTCCTGCTTCACTGATTTTTACGTGTCAGCATCTCAGCATCCATGCGCTCTAGAATCCTACGTGCTTCTTCCTCCGTTGCAGGAACTACATTTCGAATCTTAAATCCATTCTTCGTGACCTTTGCCTCCGGCCGGACAGTGAACGTGAAATAAAATGTATTTGATACCTGCTTAAATTGACAGAGACAAAAAGAGATAATATTTGACTATCTAAGCTATGAAATTAGTAAACGTGGAATCAAGAACATAGTAGCCTTTTGTTCTTTAATAATAGTGCAATCTGTAGGGTTTTACCTCACTAGATCTGATCTCAGGCCTTGTCACATGAGCAACAACTTCAACATTAACTAGTGGTTGATCTGGATTCTCAAGTTCTGTGTACAAAACGCATGACTTCAAACGAAGGAAATCCCCTACATCAACCTGCTCAACATACATGTTATCAAATTTCCTCAAACGATGAATGGATAACCCCATGTCTTTCATATGAAGGTATAACTCATCCATACAGACCAATAATTAGCTAAAGTACATTATGGGTGAAGGCAAGCTCGTTTTACTGACATAAAGATAGACCTAAACAAAGCAGGAATGCATCTAAAATTTCTTCTGGTCTACCATTTCATGAGGATATGCTTAAGATAATGATTGAAGGTCAAAGAAAAAATAAAAAAAAAGGAGGCGGTTTGAAAAGATACGAGACCCCAAACAACACCAAGCATGAAAGGCAAAGAAGAACAAACAAGTCACAAATGTTATTTTGCTTAGAGCTGACTAACTATGCAATCCTACCATTTCATGGACAGGGATCTCTCTTTCGCTGAGAGACCATTAAATTATTGCTAAAAGCTCTGTGGGAAGCGCGAAGGTACTTACAGGCCTTAAGAAATCAACATGATCAACTTCTAGAAAGCAAGGCACTAGTCCAGCAAAGGCATAAGCTGTTGAGAAAGCTAACTCAAATGCTCGATGCATTAAGAAACCTCCAAAAATTCGACCATGGATGTTCCTCTGCTGTGGTTGGCAGATCAAAGCATTTTCAAGGCAGGTATCCCTTAAAAGAATGCTGTTTCTATCCGCTAAGGCAGGCATATCACAGAAGACTCGGCCCTCAGCCAAGAGTGCTTCCAGTCTATTTACCTCCCCATTTTCAAATTCCCTTCTATCTACACTTTTCCTTTTTCTCAATTTGCTTCTGGCTTCAGCTTCTTCAAAGAGAAACTTCTCTTGTTCAGTTTCTGGTGAAAGCCGGTTAACAGGAGCAGCTTTTCCAGTCTTAGAGTCACGGGCCACAAAGATGAAGTTGGCTGTTAGAGCTACTGAATCTGAAACACCTAACTCTTCTGCATGAAACAATATTACATAATAAAAGTCTAACCCATCATGGCTAAGCTTCAAGCTAGCATGTCCATAAATGAAAGACTTGTTTACAGAGTAACACCTAGCAGCTGTGCAGCCTGAAAAACTACATATTATTTCATTATTTCTCATTAGGCTTAAATGCTCGGTTTAGAATCTGATCTTTACTAAATTTTCATTTCAGGATTCAATGTTTCATATCTTTCAAATTAGGATGCAACCTCTTCCATTTCATCCATTTAAGAAAAATTGATGAAAAAAGATAGTGATTACCGTTAATGGAACTAATGGCTGCAAATCTATATTTACCCCATGTGACAGTCATTAGTCCCATCAGAGCTATTAGTAACTTTTTTTTCATTAATCTTCCTTAAATAGGTAAAATAAAAAGGTTGCATCCTAATTTGAAAGAAATAAAGGGTTGAATACCGAAATAAAGAATTAGCTAAAAATTAGATCCTCAAACAGGCATTTAACCTTCTCATTAACTCAAAGAACAGTGACCTGCATGTATGTTATGAAATCTCAGTGCCATTACCAAGACTAGAAAAACATGTCAGCAGAGCATAACCATTATGTGGAAAGCAATAACCTAAATTTGATGTCTGTGAATACTATCTTTTTAATGTGGCCAAAGTATCATTTACGTAAAATACTTTCACCCTCATAAGAGAAGATAAATGATACTTCAGCACTCGAAGTGTCAAAGTTGAATAAAATGTCAGTGGACAAAGTGTTTCTCCATCTTAAAGGACAAACTGTGAAATTGTGCAGACAATTTTTATTTGTATTCATACTATCTAGGTTTTAAATATAAGTATGCTTTAAGTTTCTGCCAGGAGACGGATACGACTTGTGAACATGATATGAATACAACAAGATGACTATGTAATAGTAGGGAAAGGAAAACTTATAGAGCTGATATGTAAATGATCCAGAGATGAAAGCAATTTGAAGGTAGCTTGTAAATTCTTGTCAATTAAAGTTCAAGTTATGAAAAGAAATCCAAAGGAATTTGGAATGATTGATATAGTAAATGAAAAGTGAAAAGTGAAAATAGGTATACAATTCCATGCTTTGGCTTGAATTTTCATTAACACTGAGATTAAGTACAAAGAATTTATGGTTCAAATGGGTCTCTAAACCTTAATACGGTGCACTAATTCACTCCATTATGTTCTACATCTAGGCAAAGCTTGAAATTTTAGTAAAATCTACAATTAATTTGTTACACTGATTTATATCTGAAGCATCAGCAAATGTAAAGAAATAGATTCCATGCTTTGATTTGAATTTTAATTATCACTGAGATTAACTACAAAGAATTGAGAGTTCCAAAGGTTCACCAAATCATAAAATGATATACTAAGTCAAACCATTATGCTCAACATCTTGCAAAGCATGAAAATTTAGGAAAATCTACAATTAGTTTGCTAAAATGATTTATATCAGAAACATTAGCAAATGTCAAATGGAAAGAATAAATGACATGGAATTGTCAATAATTGATCAAAAAATGTAAAATGTGTCAATGAATATGTACCCAGAAAAGATAGTGACTGCATATTTCTTCTTAAATGCAATTCTAATGAGTCAATTTTCAATTTGATTGATGAAAATCACCAAGTCATGATCCCCCCCCCCCCTCTTTTAAAATAGAAGCAACAATATAACAGTAGTCCAACTATCTATTCATTTTTCTGATACCAGAATAGCATCTTAAGTTTTCAATTTGCAAGACTAATCATAAATTTCAGATTAAAGAACAGTACCTTTTGTGGACTGAATGACTTCTAGTTGAATCTCAATTGATGACCTCCCAACCCATATGACAGAACCAACTATTTTCAGATCAGTGTCAACACTAATAGGCTTCTTCAAAACAATCTTGTCAACAGAAGCTGTGACCAGCAAGAGAGGCCTTGTTGTGTTATCATCATCTGAACAATGCTAATTTACAAACAAACAAATAACACAACTTTAGCCATTCAAAAAGATTGCATATTTGTAGTTCCCAAAATGTGAAAGAAAAAACTTTTTAAAGATAGTACCTTGACAGAGATAGTCCCAGCTAAAGCATCAAGGTCTTCAAGCAACTTCCCAATTCTAACTTCATTCCAGGGATCCCTGTATTGTTCTCTCAAAATATAATCTGATGATAAGTTATAAAGGATGCTGGTCCTGCTTTGAGAGGGAGTTTTGGTGAGCAACTCACTCTGAGGGGGTGCATCTTTTGGTGGGTCAAGGAGTCTCTCAAATATTTTGGACCTTGCCTCCCATAAAGCATTGGTTACTGGTGAATGGTACATCCCAGGCCATAGGCTTATGGGCTTCCTGGTTGAGGTGAAATCTGAGCTGTTGACTGGAGGAGAATCGTCAAAGGGAGAAGCAAAAGTTGAAACTACAGGGATGGTGTTAGGAGATGAGCAATTAAACTCCATGAAATTGGGGTTTCAGGTGATTTCTGCAAATGGGTCGGTGAGACTTGTGATGGTTTGCAGAAGTTTGAGTTTGTTTACCCTTTTAGGTCAAATTTGCCATTTTCAAAGGGCAATTTTTTTCCAACTTGACTGCTTCAGTTAAACTTTTGATTTCACGTTCAGATATTTTAGGTGAGAAAAAATTTTGTTGAAGTGTTTCAGGCCGTATTTACGAAGTTTCATATTAAAAATGTTTAAATAAAATTTAAAATTTTGCTATATAAATAAAATTTAAAAATTTAAAAAATTCAATAAATTTATATATATATATATATATATATATTTAATAAAAATATTGACAAAATATTTACTATCTAATAAATATTAATTAAATTTAAATTATAAATAATTTTTTTTAATAATTTTTTTATATATTATTAATTTTTACATCAAATTTTATCAATCAATTGATTGAAATTTTTTATTAAAATTTTTATTAAAAAAAATTTTACAAACGTTATTTAAAAAATTTTATATAAATTTTATCTATGTTTAAATTTATAAATAATTATAATTAATACTCTATCAATGTAAGTTTTTAATTTAAAAACACCAAATTAAAAATTTTATACATATTTTATTGTAAAAATAATACTTTAAAATATTCATATTGCACCATTAATAATATTTAAAAACTCCGTTACAAAAAAATTGTTCTACTCGATTTTTTGTTTTGTCGTTGTCAACAGTTGTAAAGAGTAATGAGAGGCTACATCTTATCGTTAAAAAGGAAGATTTTTTTTTTTTTGAGGCTGTCATTT